ATTAAAGGAAAAAAAAAAAAAAAAAAAAAAGTCTTGAAAACTGACCTATTGAATCCCTTCGAAGAGCAGTCAGATGGGCACAACTGCAAGACACAAGAACATTACTACATGTCAACAACGTTAATAAACTAGAGAGGAACAAAACGAGTAGAAGAAGTATAGGAATGAAGGTGAATAATAATAATAATACCTGCCAAGAGCCTTCCCAAGATCCGCACAAAGTGACCGAATGTATGTTCCTTTAGAGCATGTTACTCGAAATATCAAATTTTGCCTGTCAAATAATGCACATACTAGATTTAGAAGTTGATTCATATTGGTGCAACAAACAAACACTTTCAACTGAAAATTTTGCAATAACTAAAAGGTATTTGAGCTGCCCGACAAACCAGCCAAAGCTCCAAGTAAACAACCAACTAGAGTTGTTAAAGTTGTCAATATAATGAGTCTGCCATGAGTTTTATTTGAAAATTTGGACCTTTTTGTGATTTTCCTTCATGTTTAATCACTACAAATTTGAATATTTTCCTGTAACTCTTTCAAGATTTCTATATGACTCCTCTCTCATTACTTTCATCTTTCTACAAGAAAATTGGATCAAAACTTGAGTTTCTAAGCCCATGCCACAATTTTAGGTACACAAATTACAGAAATGATGAAACAGAAGTACTTGGGGAGTGAACATACCTGTCATCTAAACTACGTTCAATATCAAATTTGTAAATTGATATCCGCCTAGGGGAAAGCTCAATACTTTCTCCTCTTCTTGCTTTCTCATACATCTTCTCACCTCCGACCTATAAACACGATATTGAAATCTGTAACCAAAGATCTCCTTGAACATTGATTTCATATTGACAAGTAACTCATAGTTTAAAGAATCAGATGAATGAAGTTGACACTACAAAAAGAAAAAAGAAGAAAATGATGGCCATACTAGTGTTCCATCCATCTACGCACTATAATCTTATACAACAAAGTATATTGAAATCAAAGCTTCATCTGTTTTGTAAGTATTCCATACAGATATGTTATGAATCATGTGTTTGTACTATGAAGCATGCATTTTTAACAACATTACTTATACCTTGTGAAGTTATAATTATAGAAAGAAGAAGTGCTTACTTTAATGGCAGAAAACATGGGAGGAACTTGCCAAATTTCCCCACAAAAAGAGGCAACAGCTTTTTTGATGTCATCATCTTTGATGTGCTCCCAAGGCTCTCGCTGAATTACCTGCATAATAATTGAGACAAGCGATTCTTATTTGGAAGATATACAAATATATACTCATTAGGAACTGAACCCAATTGAAATTTTTTATTGACCTGTGAGACAGCCAAAACCTCACCTTGCAATTAACCTAAGAACTCAACAACTAATAGAATGTTGAAGAACATTATGCTAATGATAGAAAAAGGATAGAATGCATATGAACTGAAGCCTCTTCATGCCTATAGTGAGACGGACTTGCCAGAGGCAAATGTTTGATGAGTTAATATAGAATCATAGATCTTCTTCCTTAAGACTTGAACAATAAAGATTCCTCTGACAGATCCAATACATTTCCCAAAGAACACAGCAGGTATAGAACATAGATGCATATCAATTAAAAACAAGAAAGCATAATTGACTTGAATGATAACATCAACACACCGCTGAATCAGCATCCCAAGTTGAAGTAGCCTCTCCTAAACGGAAAACTCCACTGTAGCTCTTGATCATACCTTGATATCTAAAAGATAAACATGCCACCTTTTAGAAAAGTTGTATGCCTCAGGATTTCTCATTTCATCTGTGTTAGGCTTGGGAAGATATCCTCCCTTACCCTTTGTTTATTATTGTTAGTTTGTTATTAAAGAAAGGAAGGGGGGAGAAGAAAACAAAACAGCAATTACAGAGCTAACTTAATCAATCACCTGTCTGCCAACTTAGTCGCTTTACCAACACAAACTATCAACAATCCAGTAGCCATAGGATCAAGAGTACCTGCATGACCTACCTATCAATGCACATAAGTGGAAAACAATGCAGTCAGAGGAGCTCAGATAATCGAATAACTTGGTCTAAAACAGCTGAAATGCACCTTTTTCACTTTGACTAGGCGCCGAAGTTTTCCACAGACCGTAAATGAAGTCCACCCTACGTTAAATTATCATATTGTTCATTCTAAACGTCCAACAAAAAAAAAAAAAAAAAACGCTGAGGAATTTACTTCTAACTGGAATGGATTCAGAACATTCACTAAGATATCAAATCAATGATTATAAACAGGGTATTCCTTTCGAAGGGCTGCATAAACCATAGACTGACCTTTAGGTTTGTTCACCAAAACCACTGTCCCACAAGGACTATCCCATTTGGCAGGGAGCTCTGTATGTCTCGTCAAAAGATATGGCCCCATCTGACCAATTTCAGAATCTTTGGCTGGAACTTTCTTCAAACACTTGAAGAACTCCTCCACCTTCTTCTCTGTCACATCTTTCACTGACCCTTTATTATCCTTTTCTGGTCTCCCCCCATCAAAGAAAACCAACCCTTTTTCATCCACGCCATTTGTGACCTCCACTTTTGTCTCGGGCTTAACCCCCACTGCCTTTCTCACCCCCTTCCTTCCCTTTGTCTGTTCATTCACTTCCACATTTGACTCTCCAGGTCCCAGAAAAGCCTTGTCAAGACCTTCATCAGGGAAATACTTTTTCTCTAACTGATACACCATTTTGTAATGCTTATCTTTCTCCCACGGATACGCAAAAGTGTCATAGAAGAACAATTCCTCCTCTCTCTTATGCAATGTGTTGAACTCAACCACCTCAGGCTTTAATTCCACAAACCCCTCGTCCTGTGTCTTCTTTTCTTCATCAGAATCGGACCCATACATCCTCTTCCTTCTTTTATTATAGTATTTCCTCTTAGCCTTGTCCATGACCACGCCTTCTTTACCGGACGCAGATTCACTCTCGGAAATAAGCTTCTGATCCACCCAGCTCTCGAACCCCAGTTCGGAAACGGGATCCTCGGAGGACTCGAGCTCGGGAGAGTTGTCGGGGCTGATTCTAGCGGGTGTTCGTCGGTTCTGAGGGGGCATGGGAGGATAAATGGGGCGGTCGATGATCATATCGTATTGGAGAGGGAATGGGGTGGAAGTGGTCGAGGATCTGCGGAGCGATAAGAGAGAAAGTGAATTGGGAAATCTGTGGAGATGGTTGAGGTTTGAAAGTGGGAAGAAGAAAGCGAGCGATTTGGAAGAAGCCATGAGCGTGGACCGAATGAAGAAATGGGAGGCATGAGATAGAGCAGGTGATGTCGCCATTGAAGTGATTGTGAGATGGCTGAGGGAGTTCGTGAGACTCTGAACCTTCTTGGTGGGGTGGGCGGGGAGGGGATGTTTTGTTTTCTTTTACTACATTTTTTTTCTTTTTCAATTTTTTTCTTTTTCAATTTTTTTCCTCATGTATATATAATTTTTAGTGTGTGTATATATATATATATATATAATTATTTGTAGACTTACATTCCCACAGATTTTGCTAATTATTATTATCATTTTACTATTTTTATGTCCAAGGGGTATTTTTTATTTTAATTTTATAAAAGAAACCAGGAGCAATGAGAATAAAATTAAAACTTTATTTTAACATCATCATCATCTAGAGAGTAGAACTAAACTTTTTTTTAAATAGTATAAAAATTTCTTCCTAGTAAGTGAGTTTTAAAGACTTTGAGGGAGAACTTGTAAAGAAAAATCCAAAGACAACAGTATCTACTACCACTAAAAGTAATATCCAAAGATAACAATATCTACTGCCACAGAAAAGAAAGCCTAAATATAACAATATCTACTACCACAGAAAAGAAAGCCTAAATATAGCAATATCTACTGCCACAGAAAAGAAAGCCTAAATATAGCAATATCTACTGCTACAGAAAAGAAAGCCTAAATATAACAATATCTACTACCACAGAAAAGAAAGCCTAAAGATAACAATCTCTACTACCACGGAAAGGAAAGCCAAAAGATAACAATATCTACTACCACGAAAAGGAAACCCCAAAGATAACAATATCTACTACCACGAAAAGGAAACCCCAAAGATAACAATATCTACTACCACGAAAAGGAAACCCCAAAGATAACAATATCTACTAACGAAAAGGAAAGCCTAAAGATAACAATATCTACTACCACGAAAACTAAAGCCTAAAGATAACAATATCTACTACCACTAAAAGGAAACCCCAAAAATAACAATATCGATAACAATATCTACTATCCCTGAAAGGAAACCCCATCGATAACAATATCTACTACCACTGAAAGGAAACCCCAAAAATAACAATATCTACTACCACAGAAACGAAACCCCATCGATAATACTATCTACTACCAATGAAAGGAAACCCCAAAAATAACAATATCTACTAATGGTAGGCTAAAACCTTAAGGGAGAGTCTGAAAGGAAAAGCCCAAATAGAACAATATTTGCTAATGGTAGCTTGAATAGTTACAATTAAAGTTTGTTCCAAAGATTATTAATGTTTATTAGTATAGTATTTTAATCCAAACCTATGATCCAAAAAAAAAAAATCTATGTAAATACTGCATTTCCATTATTTTCTGAACTCTGAATAGCAAATTTAAATATTAATGGATATAAATGAAAGTGAGCACAGTTATTAATTGATCAAATGAATGTCGAATGTTCAAAACGCCCAATAATACCAATTTACCAAGTTTAGCAGCTCCTATAATCTGTCTAAAACAACAAGAAAAAAAGGAAGAAAAAAATGTAGTATTAACTTTGCAAACTACTGAATGACAATATATATATATTCAAGATGCATACTTCCTCAGCAAACCTAAACTACCAAACTCATAGTCTAACTGGAAAGTGTTTTAAGATCAACCTCATTTAGGCATGAAGGAACCGCCTGGATTGGTTGAAAAACAAAACCAGCTTTCTGGCAATTTTCCTCCAGAAGCTTCACTTGTGAAGGCCCATCAGGGCAGAATACCACAACAGCTCCTCCACTGCCTGTGAACTTTGAAGCAGCGCCTACTCTTCGGGCTAATTCCACCATTTCTATGTTTAAAGCACCCAGAACATCATCTCCAAACATTCTCCTGTGAGGAGTTCGGAATTTAGGAGGGGAAAACAGCAGTAAATGGTGAGTTAGCATAGCTTTTGGTTTGAGTGGAAGGTGGTGTCTTGACATACTTGGTTAAATTGTTCGAAGTGTTCATAAAAAAAAAGTACTTGAAAGAATGTAGAAGGCGCTCAATTAGTTGCTTCTTCCAAGAGAAGTGTTTCAGAAGACACTACTCTCCTTAGGTATCCTAATAAGATCAAATTTTTTTAACTATTGCAATAACCAACCAATTTTCATGGTTTAAGAAGTGATGCTATCCTGGAGGGCAATCTCAAATAACCACCTAGGCCAAATTGCAGAACTTGCACAAAGTATTCTCATATAGACATAAACTTTGAATAGTTTGGAGTTGAAAATTTACTGAAGGGCTATATATTTTTTTTAATGTCTGGACAAAATTTGTTTGTACAGAAACACTAACCTGCGAAGATCAAAATTGCGGTTCATAAGTGCTGCAAGTTTTGAATAGTCCTTCTCAAGTAAAACTGTCCTTCCTTCTTCTGCAACCATAGCAACTTCTTGCATTGATGATATAATCAATTTGTCACCATCGAGCCACCTCTGCCGTACTGTACTGTGGACCTGCATTTGCATTGGTCATGGATGACAGTGGTTAGTGTTCAAGATCACATTTCCAGCAATGCTAAGGTTTAATCCATCTACAGAGGAACTGTAAGAGTTGAAGAATGTGAAAATTTCTCAAGCTTTGGCCAAAGGCAGTGTAATACAGGTTGTTTGGTACAAACAAAATTTAATTGGTTACGGTTCGTCTTGGCATTGAATGCTTTGTAGTTTCATGACAATATATCTTGTAGAGGGGGAAAACAGAAGAATATAGTTGCACTTCTCCAGTATTTAAAAACAATTCATGCAAGTGCAAACAAGCTGCTAAACCACGACTAAAAATAGTAGATATCGAAAATTGTACAAATGAAATGTACGATGGGGTTGATTAAGATATCGACCTTTCCGGAATCACTCGGATTATCAGCATAAATTAGATAGAGTGGAGGAAGAAGATTAATATCCATGGGTGTGTATATGCCATGCCCAAGCTTCTCCATGTGCTCCTGGCTAAAATCCTACAGAAACAGAAGTAAACATCATTAAAAACTTACCAGATTTCCATATTCATAAATATATCAACATTTTTAGAAGCTATACCATGTAAACAAGGCCACCATAGACCTGCGCAACTCGATCTTGAAGGCCAGCAACAATGCCAAGTTCTTTCTCTGCAGCAAGAACAAGATTAGGTCTGACCTCCACCTTAATCAGATGCCTGACATCAAAAAAGTCTAGCAAGCAACTCAAGGCAGCACATACGATTGCACTGGAACCTGAAAGCCCTGTCTGGAATGTCAAAATTATTACTTAAGCCATTTGATATCATGTCGACAAGTCAATGTGCAGAATAAGGGAATATGAGGTTTAGCATTGGTATGAACACAAGTAGGCTAAAAATAATGCATTCTGAAATATTTTAAGTCTTCAACTTGACAACCATTCAAGATGCACTAGCCAAGCGAAGCACGACTACATTGGTGTGCAAATTACAGATGAATGTGAACTATGCATATCTAAGCATTCATTTATAGAAAATACAGGCGGACATGTTGTCAGTTATAAATTGAGTATTAATTGAGTAAAAAATTCAGGAAGGAACCCTTTTCAATCCCATTGAAAAAACACAAATCCATAGTAGCAACACAGCCAAAGGCTTCGTAAGCTTAATGCATTTCTATCTTACCAACTAACCATGAAAAGAAGTAAGAGCATCTACTTCATTGACCACAAATGATTATGAATCTACAAGTACTGCAATCATAACGCAGAGATACATTAATTATAGAACAAAAGTAATATAGCATAGAGCAAGGCACTGTACCTGTCGAGGAATATTAGTGTCGTAAGACAAAGTAAAGTTCCTTGTATGAAGATTAATCTCGTTTTCTCTGCAATAACTATAAAAAACTTTACAAATTGCCATAAGCAATCGCACCCCTCCATAGTAGCCTTCACTGGACAATCGATTAACCTGTAAAACAGAACAAACAAACTTTAATCCGCAAAATTCTTGAACATATTGACAAACTTAAAATAGTCATTACATTTCGTTCCGTGAAATTTCAATAATTCCAACGCATCAACAAAATACAGTGATATGTAATCAAATAGCGATTTCCTCTTTACATCTCTAAAAATGAAATTGAAACAACTACAAGAAAATGCAACAATACTGTGTTACCGAAAAACGAAACCACGAATTTGCGGACATTCTAAAATTTCAATCGCTCATAGATCTCTCCATCATGCAATGTGTTATTTGTAAATCCCTCCACCAGATCTATCCAAATCAACGAACCACTTCAATATAATGTGAGAAAAAAACGTACCAGATGATCGAGGGATCTGAAGTGGACGAAGTCGTGGGTGGGATGGGGAGTGATGACAAGCTCTTCGGAAGGGCGGAGTTGCACGCAGGCCCAGAAATTCGAGAAAGCAAAAGAGATGGTGCGACCATAGTAAACATCGCTCGGATTTCCCAGTAGTCCCACTCTGGCATAAGCCTTGTGCTCAATCACAGAGGAGGAGGAGGAGGAAGATGATGATATTTTGGAATCCATCCTACTCTTTCTCTCTAAAAAAGTTTCTCACTCTTCTTCTCTGAGAATTACAGTTCTCGCCTCCGTCGTCGTCTTCTTCACCCGACGAAAGTCGTCGGAAGAAGCTCTGTTCTTAGCTTATAATAAGGAAAACGTAATCAAGAAATTTAGCGAAATTATATATATGTGTGTGTGTGTGTGTGTCGTGGGACCCACTTAGGTATGACCTGGCACATATCATCTCTTCGGGTTAAAAGTCAATTTGTCCTTATCTGTTTCGTGTTGGCACTTGCTCTTTCTTTTTTTTTTTTTTTATTCCTTTTTCATTCTTCAATCAGATAGTGTGAAAGATTTAGCAGAATAAAGTGAAGTAAGGATAAAGATTTATTATTATTATTATTAATATTACAAAACATCATACCTTAAAAAAAACAAAAAAACATAATGTAATGTCAATTATTATTAAATACATATTATTCATTGATTAGAACTAAATTTGATCTTAGGTAAGAAATTTTATTAAATTTTTCATTATAGAAACTCAATCATTACAATTTATAAAATATGAAAAAAAAAAATCAAACTATTATTTATTAAAAGTTAATAGATTAAATTGTTATAAACTTGATAATATATAATCTGTTAAGGCACAGGAGCATCACATACAGCATATCAGGTTTCATCTCCGTCATCTTCGTCGTCGTTAGGCAGCCCGTGGTCATCTCCGATTCCTTCAAGAAGTTTATCAACATCCTCTCCGAACTCCAATAGCCTTGCTTTGTTCTTGCACGAGGCACACATGCAAGTCATTCACTTCAGTCTCACTCTCCTTCAGAGCTTCTTCCCTTGCTTCTGCCTTAATTCAGCCATACTAGCAGCCGTAGACCTTGTCGGAACTTCCCATTTCTGTTTTTCATAGAAGAGGCAACAGCCAAATACTTCACCATTCGATGCATCAGAGGTTCAGGATCTCCAAAGGATGGCATAGTTGCACTGATTGTTGTTCTTAATCACACGAGTAAGAACACTGGCAGCTCTTGTTGTCATTATTGAACTCAGGATACTTGTGAATAAACCTTCGGGGACATCCAAGAACTACTGATACTTTGTGATGCAGCACTCGTACCATATCATATATTTCAACATTCCCTTGATATTAAAATATACATTACCTCTAGATCCCCATTGTTTTCGCTCAAAGTAAGACTACGTAAGAGCATGCTGCAAGATGAAGAATTTGTCAACTAAGATAATTAAACTAGAAGTTTATGGAGTTTAAACTAATCTTCTACATTAGTAGACAGAGAAAAAGTGCATTTAATAAAGCACCAAAAGAACAATGCACGATGGATTTGTGAATAAACCTTCCGAATGACATGTTCACATCCTCCTCAAGTGGTGCATGGATCATGGACTGTGGTTGAGGAATTAAAGTGGATGCCAACATTGTTTGCCCATCAGAATTTTTCTGATTCAGAAAATGTGTTAAAAAAGAGTAATAACACAATTGAAATTTGAAATTTAAATATTAATATGTTTAATAAAGAAAAATGTAGGAAGTTGAAGCATAAATAACCTCACAAAAGCACTTGAAAACATAATCAACTGCAAAGTATTCTTGGGTACTTGATGTCCGCAAAGTGATCCTAAGAATTGAATTCAGGGCAGGCTCTTGCAGCACATTGTCTCCAAGGAGTGTGCATGCAATAGCATCAATATTTTTGGGATGCTCAGAGATCAGTGAGTCCCGTGTTATAATTTTTCTGTTCTTATCTATATTAGTTAGCCAAAGTATACCTCACGGTCCATAAGCATGTCCATAAGTCGAGTTATAACGCGAGGAATGCTGAGAATTGCTTCCTGCAATCTTAAGAGGAAAATCAGCAATTCAAGTAATGAGAATAGTAAAAAGTACAGAAAGAGTCACAAAATAAATATAACTCGTGGGAGAATTTGAAAGAAGCGCTGTCAACAGTTGAAGAGCATAATATCTAACATAAAAAAATCCTCTTCTGACTGCAAAAGCACAGAAAGAAACCCAAAGAAGGGAGGAGAAAAGTGATCAGATATGATACTGAGTTGCACAAATGCATACCCAAACCTATAGATATTGAAAATGTAAGTAAATGTGAGGAATTACTGACCAAAAGACTTAAAAGAAGAGAGATGCTGTCTGATTCCCTTGAAACCAAATCAGAGTTCGTCAGATTTGAACTTCATCCCTGGACCCATTTGCATGATCGAGAGGAGTTAATGCACTTACAAGAGTTTCAAGGGCCCCTAGAACCTCAAGTCAAGTAATGGAGAATAAATACAAAAAAGAAACTCAGTAAAGAAGAACAGCAAAGAATGACTTCCCACAGATGGTCAAGTTGAACTAGAACAGAAGTAATTAAGTAAACTAATAATGTATAATACTATCAACTAAAGATTTCCCGCATAGAAATATCAAATAACCTAGACTTACCATGTAATATTATCTTTAATTGTTCCAATACTTCTTGAAATGGCAATAACATGTTCTTTGTTCAGAATGAAAGCACATCTAGAAGTCCTAAAGCAAGATTTAATTCCTCAATAAGCAAAGAACAGATAAACTGCAACCATTTCAACATCATCTCGTTCCTCCTTTAAAACACTCATAAGCACATCAAGTATATTCTTTATTTATAAATTTAAGACAATCCAGACAACTATAGTAACAAGTAAAGCACATACCCATTGCACCAAAAGCTTGGGCAGAACGGTTTTCTGCTACAACAGACTGAAGCTCCACCATAGCAGCTCTCCTGTCCTCTGCAAGCTGACCATTGCTAATGCGATCCAATAGACGTTCAACGTTATGGAAACGGTTCACAATTAACCAAAAAATATAAAAAAAGAAACCGTAAACGTAAATGTTAAAAAATTTCTGAATGAGAAAAAGCAGATGAACGAGCGTATGCCATGCGGTTTATCCATCTTCGTGTTTACGAGTATACAACATCTACTTACCTATCTTCATTGGACGCAGAATTCTCATTGCCGAAAACAAGCCCAACCACGCCCTGCACAAAGCTCACAGATAAAACACAATACTAAAGATCGTATAAACAACTACAAACAAGCACCACATTACTGTCCTAAACATCATAATCCATGAAACTTCGGATGCAGAGAAGAGAGTAAGATCAACTTGTAACCAGAGACCAAATCCATAATCGAGTAAGAATATAAAAAATCCATAAACAGAAGCCAACGCAATCACCCCGAACACAATCCAAGCGTTGGAAATGTTTACACGCAATCTCTAATAGTGAGAGCTCCAATCAAATCGTTAAAAAAAATCCTATAAATGAAATTCCATCCCAAACGCAGGGTTACACAGGATTGAGTACACAAATGGCCTTCCAAAATGAAATAGAATTCCGATTAGAAAACAAAAAAAAAAAAAAACAGGAACGAACCTGAAGTTCGAAACAGAGTGGCTAATCTATGCGTCCGACGATTTTCGGTTGACAGCGATGGAGTGTATCGTGCTTTCTTTCGGCACTTGCCCAAAACGTAAATTCGGACCTCCTACTTTTGGTTTGTCTTTTTCCTTTTATTTTTTAATATATATTCTGCGGGGGAAGACGAGCCCAAGGCCCAATAACTCAGCCCTGTGATTGAGACTTTGGGCCTCCAGATAAAACACTAGCGGCCCATATAAAACAATAAGGTTTTTTTTTTTTTTCTTGTTTTGTTTTTGTCGTTAAAACGGTTTTAAAGAATTATTTTTATTTTTATTTCTTCTCGATTTCGATAACTACATTTTAAATTTTAAAACCTATAATAAAATTTGAATATTTATTCTCTCTATCAATAATATAAATTCATCAAAATTTGATTACTAAAATTTATATGAATAATTAATGTTAATTAAGAAATATAACAAATATTTTAAAAAGAAACACCCACGAAGTGCTTTTAATAATAGATAAGATATTTTTAATTAATTTCAAGTGCCTATTGTATATTATTTATAAAAATATATATATATATTTATGATTATATTCCATAAACTAATTATTATATAAAATAAAAAATATTTATCTGAATAAATATGAGTAGATGATTAGTTACGTATATTCTTATCTATCCACTTGCTATTTTTATTTGTCCTGTAGATACCAAAAATTCCAAGGTTCACATCTTTTTAGACACGAAAAACGGAATCTTTTGAGGATTATCCCAATTTCCCTCTCAAATCGTATTCACTCCACTTGGGATCCAATTCCAAACTCATTTCCTTCTTTTTTTTTTTTTTTTTTTTTTTTTTTTTTTTTTTTTTTTTTTT